TTCCACATTGGTCTTATTCTAAAAGTTTCTTTTCAATAGCATGTTCCACCAAGTGCAAGCGCTTCTTGTGCAGAAACAACCTTAAGTCCTATAGGTTGTCAAGAGTAAGCCTTTAGTCTGCATATTCTGCTGTGTACAATGAACTTCCTGAAGTTTATCAGCCCAAAGGAAAAGGTAGCAGATAAACATGGAATCACAGACAGCGTGTAAAAGACTTTGTGTTATATGACAATCGTGCTTACATGTTAAAGGGCAGTGGGTGTGACGAATCGGCGAAAAAATTTATTTTTGAGTTTTTCTGGGTTTCAATATATTTGATTTCAAAAACCGTTTTGTTTTTTTTTTTGGTTGAAATTTTAATAAATTGTGATTAATTATTAAAAGATAGAAAATTTTGTAAAATATTATTTTGTTGGCTCCATAAATGGGTAAAAGTCATTTTAAATTATTTTTTTTTTCTTTGATTCATGTACTTAGAATTGCCCAATCACATTGTATATGGTTTCAATAGAAAGCTTTACTTCTTAGAATTTAGATAAGTATAGCTTCCTGTCACTTATAAAAGTTACAAAACACTTCAATCGGAGTTGAATCATTATCAAAACAGTGTTTTTCTGATTTAATCAAAGGGTCCCCTCATTTCTGACGCATCAACCTTGAACATTTAATAAAGCACGCATAGGGATTGTTACAAGTTTGTAAATTTACATGTGATCGGTTATTCTTTTATGAAATTCAGCTAGACCGAGCAGTAAGTGCTTTGTAAATATGCAATTTTTCAATTTGGTTTCATCCCTGAGATTGTGTACGGTCCACGCCCCAGCTACGCCACTGGTTTATTGATCCTAATAAATGGACATTTTTTTTATTACATTGTACATATTCATGTCTGCACATTGATAATATTCTTAAAAAGATCAACAGTTTTAAACTAGAAAAATTTAAACACAAGACACTTATGGCTTTGTTAAGCGTAAAAATCAACCATCATCAGCCAGGGAACTTCACTCCTTTAGTGACAATATTGTCTTTACGGATTTAGGTTTGGTAAACTACTCATTAATAGTGTGACCATATTTTAAATATCATAAAGGTTAATATCTCAGTTAAGAAAAATAATGAGGTTTTGATTTTACAATACATTAAGCCATCATTTCATAATTTTCTCAACTACAGACTTGTACTTTAATACAACTATAAGTAATCTTTCATTGTTATTAAAATTCATACAAATTAAAAAACTTTAGTGCTTCCAAGTAAGTCAAAATCCCCTGACTTATTGGCTACTTTTGAGGGAAGAATCTCTAATTATATATTTTTATAATCAGTATGTAGTATATGGGTGTATATGCATGTAATACAAAAAAACCAATGAAAGAATATTATCTTATTTTCAATTAACATTTTTGCTTTAGGTGATATCATGATTGACTACACATATGTTGAGTGCACCTCAGCCTGCATGCAGTGTTTGACAACTTTTACTAAGGCCTATCCGGATTACCGCAAGCATGAGATTGATAATGTGCTCAAGGAGGGGCTAAAGTATGTGGAGTCTAAGCAGAGACCAGATGGCTCATGGGAGGGCAGCTGGGCTGTATGCTTTACATATGGGGCCTGGTTTGCCTTGGAGGCATATGCCTGCATGGGTTACACTTATGGTAGTGGAACAAAGGTGCCCAGTGCTGTCAAGAAGGGTTGTGATTATTTAATCAGCAACCAGATGGAGGATGGTGGTTGGGGAGAGAACTTTGAGGCTTGTGAGATAAGGGAGTACGTCAACAGTGAAACATCCCAAATAGTCAACACCTGTTGGGCCCTTTTGGGACTTTTGGCAGTCAGGTAAAGCAATACTGTTTAAACTAACAACTTTTAAGTAAATTTTTCTGATTTTAAACAAAATCTAACAGGAATATGGGTTTTCATGAACTTATTTGTAGGATTTTAGAAATACTTGACAGTGTTAATACCATATTTTTGCGTATATAAGATGCGTCTTATCCAAAGTTGTACATACCCCACACCCAAGGTGCGTCTTGACTAATGAGTTTGCCTACCACTGGCCTTTTTACAAGCCGCTTTTACATCTGGCGTTTCTTGTTTCTAGAATCTAGATACTCAACAAATCTGCTATTGGCCCGGCGGCAGATTAGTACAAACAATAATCATTGCAGTCCTGCCTCAGACAATTCTTTGATCAACCGGTAAACTAAAAATTTTAATGGTAATGAAACCTTGATTACACCCAACGGGTGATGAAACATTGGACATATTTTCATTATGATAAAGGAAAGGAAACCACTGGATATAAATTGCTCAGTGCCGCAGATTTGGTAGACTGCATGCATCTTATGCAATTTTGGTTTACACAAACGTCAAAACCTGCGTCTTAAATATGGATACATCTTTTATGCGCGAAAATACTGTAATTTTTACAGTACTTACTTCCAAAGATGCAAATATATTTTGTTTAAATTACTGTACAATATTTAATCAAAATAAATATGACTGTAAAATTGGCAAATTTTATTTCCTCTCATTATGTAGATACCCTGATGTTGAGGTGCTGGAACGAGGTGTTAAATTAATCATGTCTAGACAGCTTCCAAATGGTGACTGGCCACAGGTACAAATTAATTGTTATATTTAAATTATGAATTCTGACTTGCTTATTTATAGCACTATAGTTAAATTGTATAAATAATATGGGTATAAACTGAATTTTTGTTTCTGATTCTTTTTAAAAAGTCCAGCTCTGATAACGGTTTGATAATTTGATTTGTTTCTAAATAAATATTTAAATAATTTAAGAGCTAAATAAATTAAGAGAAATGATTTTACATGAAGTTATTTATTTTAGTTTTTGTACATCAAGACTTTAAATTTAAAAAATAGATTTTATTATTTTAAAATACTGGTAATACATTAATTTCTTTCCTTCAGGAAAATGTGAGTGGGGTATTCAACAAGTCCTGTGGTATTAGTTACACAAGCTATAGAAACGTTTTCCCCATCTGGACGTTGGGACGCTTTGCTCATCATCATCCAGATAGTGATTTAGTCAGGAGCTAAACACTCCCAGTCTTGGTACAAAATATGTTGATTGACAGTTAAATCACTGGGCACAAATAAATTAACCAATATAAAAGTATTGGACTTTGTTTTGTATGAGCTTATCGACAAGCCTCAGGAATCAGTTTTTTAGACATTGCTAATATGATGCTTTATGAATTATCATGTATTGGTACCTTACCAAATTTAAAATATATTTTCCACAAAAAATATAAGGAATGTGTGTTGCATTAATTCCATTATTAGAGGATTAAAGGCCTAAAATGGTATGAACAGTTAAGATTGGAAAAGGAAAATTGTGCAGGCGAACCAAACATTTCCACTACCGTATCAGTTCTAGTGGTAATGTCATAGATATCTATGTCAAATCACAACCTTTTTTCACTGATACAGGGTTAGCCTAATAATGTAAACCAAACCAGAATTTTTGAACATGTTCAAATGGTTGGCGATTCTTGCATACCTCAAAGCTTAGCCATAACCCAGCCCTCTGCTCACTATTAGCATGATTTATCACACATAACTTTAGTTAGTATAACTTTACATATTTTGTCATAAATCGCAAGTAGATGACTAGTTATGCAGACATTATGTCCATTACTTTGAAGCAAGCGCTTTAATTGTGATGCTAGACAATGGTGAGAATACACATGTGCAAAGCAACTTTAAGTTAGATACTCTTAGTCTTATCGAATTCAGCCACGTCATTTAAAGTAATTTTTTGATAAGTTAATAGTAATAAGGAAGGATTCAGACATTGTTCTTTTCCAAGTGGTTTCAGTTTAGAAATGATTTTAGTTTTTAAAAAAAATAGCTTAATTTTTATGACCCTTTAATGACAAAGATGTGCAATATTATAAAGTCCATGAGTCGTATTACTAAAAAAACCTAAATAAGTCATAGTTTCGGCTCACTTCTAAAATGTTTGAAATATATTTTGAGACAAAAAAATGTTATTTCTACTTTTTTTTTGGGTTAAGATAATGATTTTGTTTGTGTTTCCCTTTTGTGCATTTTTTGATAATCTTCACTTTTGATGTTAAAAAAAAAAATTTACAAATGAGTGACAAGAATAAGTGGGACTAAAAATTGTACCTGTTATACATTTATTCTTTTGCTACATGCTCTATCTAATGTATATTTTGTCTTACTAAAGATTCCTTCCCCTTCATTACATTTATTTTTTGTATTTTATTTTTATCAACAAAGCATTGTAAAATATTTAATGCATTTGCTCATTTTATTTCATTGTTAGTGTAGTGCCTACAAAAATACATGTATGGTTATGTGTCAGATTGTCCATTTTTTTTTACAGTTTCAATGGTTTTAAAATAAATGTTTAAAATTATTTATGTAAATTTGTCACAAGTAAAAGTGTTTACACATTAATAATCCATGTTTTACCTGAAAGGCAGTGTGTTTAAGTACATATACTGATGTATTAATGTATAAAAATTATGTACCGGTACTAGATTTTATTGTAAATTGTAAAGTTTAAAATGACATGATAAATAATGCTGTCAAGAAGTTAATAAACAACTGTACAATTATTTTCTTTGTTTACTTTATTGCAGAGAATATATTTATGACATTACAACTCTTCTGTAACAATGTCCTCCTTCATTACAGCTACAATCATGTCCATTATTTTGGAAACACCAGCTCATCAGTTACTTCTGTAGCATCTGGTACATTATGTACATATGAGTTGAATTAGAGAATCATACCAATAAATGTCACCTGCCTTGTCTTTCGGGTGGGGTTTTATTTAACTCTGGGCAAACTAAGACAGCTTCATGCACAGATTCAACATAGTTTCCAAATTCTTGATTTGAATAACCTGACATCCTTATCTGAGGATAATACAAAATAAACATGAATATAGGAGAGAAGATGAAGAATAGACATTCATAATTATTATAAAAAAACTAGAACATTTTGTTTACCTTCTTTTTCTTTGGACATTTTTCTGGTACGTTGTGAAATATGTCTTGTTTATCATACAACTCGTACAGTTCTCTCGAAGACCTACAATAAAAAAAAAAGTACATACTTTTAAGTAACTAATGTTCATTATACAAAATTCTCAACATATGATATAAATATTTGAGTCTTCATAGAACAAGTTTTAGATGTAAGTGTAATAAAAGAAAAGTAATTACAAACATAACTCACTTTCTTGCCAAATTTTGTGACAACTGGTGTGCTCCTGCGAGAGGTGCCATTTTCAGCATATGTCTTGTATAACTACGTACAGCAGGGCTATAATGATGCTGTGATTAAAATGGAAGATATTTAAGATTATTTCTTCAAAGCTAAAAATGCAGAATATAAATTGATGTCTGCAGTACATTTATTTCTGGCAATTATTTATACTTTACTATTAGTATTATATACTAATAGTACCAGTAGTATTATATACTAATAGTACTGGTACAATTATTTTCAAGTGACTAATAAATAAATAAATACATCCAATATCAATTAACTTGTTACTTTTGTAAGCAAAGATAAATAGCTGCAATAATTTAGGATACATAATTAAGTTCACATAATTTTTTTACCCACAGTTACCCTAATAGAACATTGGTCTAAAAAGAAATTATCCACCTGCCTGTTAAAGCTTTTATGTTCTACTTATTAAAGATGTTAAATACCCTCAACAGATGTAGTTCCCATAATGATGTACTGTTAGCACAACAATGTTCAGGGTCTTCCAAGTAAGGTAAGTAAACGCCACTGCCTTGAGCCTCTGTATCAAACAGGATGTCACTATACTTGTAAGTCTAATGATAAAAATAAAATATTGAAAAATCACAAAGGAAAAAATGTTTAGTCAAACATTATTTTATTCTTCTTGACTTAGTGTACAATTTAAGATATGAATAAAATTTTAAAGGTAAGGCAGGTAATAAAAATAAAACATTGGGTGGATGAACCAATCCAGTAAATAGATAATACAAATAATAAATATTTAAAAGTACACAATAGTTCAATTTTTTTAGTCCAAAAGGTCTTTAGTTAATGAAGGTGAAAGAGTTATGTTTCAGTTTCATACTAAAACTAAGAAATATGGTCATTTTCTCTCATTTAATATAATAACTTCACATCTATAGTTGCAAAAAGTTCTCAATATTCTGAAATACCCACATGAAAGAATTTTCTGACAGCGGCCAAAAAAGCAATAGCAGTTTCTGAAGTCTGTTGTAGACATAATGTGGTAAGTCTTTTGATGAATGCCAGAATTCTTTGTTGTGAAACCTTAAGTAAAAAAACTGTTTTTTATTAACACACAATAATGAATATCATTTTCATAATATTAGATGTGTATTGAATATGGTGTTTGTGTTGTGCGTGTGAATCTGGTTTCAAATCCGAGTGTGCATTAGAGAGAAAATCAATGAAAAGTAGAGACATTTTTGAGAGTGTGTGGTCCCTTGTATGGCAGGCACTTTTTTGGCTAAATGAGAGGGGATAAAATTCTTTAATTGATCAAAATAAATTGAAATGTGTTTTGATTACTTTTTTACATTGTAAATATTTATTTTCACCATATGGATACAAATTCTGATTAAGATAACCATTTTTAAACTAGACAATTTAAATGTGAGACAAATTTCAAGTATTTCTCAAGCGCGAAATCAGCCATCATATATCATAAAACTTAACTTACTGAATGACTATAAGACTAAGAGTGATTATTTATTTTATAACAGAAGGGGAAGCACAATGTGAGTGTAGTGAACAATATATTTTTCTCCGTAAAAAAAAGAAATTAATTTAATTATTGTGTTTTAATGCCAGGATGAATAATCCATTTAAACCTTTGACAACTGTAGATCTTAACAGAAGCGACCAATGGATCTCATCAATCCAAAAAAATGCTTATAAACTATGGAACTATGTTTTCAACAATGTAGAACTGGAAAGCTTATTTTACTAGAAGTTTTGGTGTAATTTTAAACAATTAGAATAATAAAAATTAGTGGAAACAGTTTATTGTTAACAGACCTGCCTCCTTCGTTTGTTAATCATTGAATCCAAACAATCAAGTACTATTGTAGCTGTCTGACTAGAAGTACCTGAAATATGTTCACATAAATGGTAAAACTGTTATGGTAATTTTAAGTCTTTGATTAACTATTAGCAAGGCTTTGGGGGGAAAAAAATGTGTTTTTAGATTGTGTTTTAAATATAAAAAATAAAATCCAATTAAATATACCTGCATGAACCGAGAGCAGAGTGCAGTAAAAATGCTTATAGAAGCTGGCAGGATCAATGTTGATGACAGAACCTTGTCCAGTTATAATTGTAAATGCAGTCTGCATGCAATGCAGCACTTCACGACTGGTCAATGACTTGAAAGAAATACATGAAAAAATGTTTTAAAAATCCAAAATACAAATGTAAATTATAGTTACAGTATTAATGAATAACTTTTCAAAATGTGTATGAGATTTTTTTACATAAAATTATTAGTTTGTTATATTGCCTTACCCCTGACTCAATGAGGCTGTTAAATGCAGCAAATAAACTGTCAAAGTACTCGATATTGATTAAATGAGCAAATCTGAAAAACAGTCCAACAAATTTGAATTAAAATATAGATAAATTAACTCCAGCTGTTCGTTTTTTTAAATATTCAGTGTATTAAAAGTTAAAAGCATTCAAGTTTAACACTTGTAAGGTATATGTTAAAAATAATAATAATTTCCAAAGATTCATTTATTGCACACAAACCTTGCTAGGCCTTCCAAAACTGCTGGCAACAGAGCTGAGTCAACTGCTAATTTTATCACACGAATGTAAGTCTCAAAAACTGCTTGAATTATTTCTGTGTGCTGGTGGTGAAAAATGTTAAAAAAGTTAAATTGTGATAATAATAAATAGATTTAATTTGTTCAACAAACATAAACATGTTTATATTTATTTATACCTTTTAATAATTCTAATACCAGGTTCATTTGGGTCTATTGAGTTAGATTTAAATTCAATTCACAATAATATTCAGCTTTGATAATTTCCAAAAGTGACCATCAGCACACCAAACTTGATAACACATTTCTTACCATTTTTAACTTTTGCTTTTTGTCTGCTGTAGCCTTAGTTTCTAGCAATTCCTTATCAAGAATTTCTTTTTGTTTTAGTCTCTGCAAAATAATTGAAAAAACTAAAATTGTAAACGTGGACATCTTAGACTGCTTTAGAAGTACCGGTATAAAAAATGCATAAATATCACAAATGAAAATTTATTTTGATTTGAATGTGACTAAACTAAGAAACATACCTTACGTTCTCTACGAGATAGTTTGAGCATTTTCTCCTTCCGCTTCATTTTTTCCACCTTATCACCACTTGATAAGTCTATCTCTTTAATTTTCAGGACAAGAAATGTTTCTAAAACCTTTATAAATATCAACATAATCATTTAATATGTAATCATCATTTTAAAACAGGCAAATTATTTAATTTACAACAGAAAGCTCTTGGGTTTTATTCTTACCATACATATGGTTGTAATAAATTTTCAATATTTTATCATAAAAAGTTAAAAATTACAAAAAGGTTTGAAAAAGATACTGATTTATCAATGTAGTAAGATAGTAACACCAAACGTTGTGCTACTAAATAGTCTCACAATGTAAAGAGGGATAGGGACTGTTACAGAAAATAAGACATTTAAGTATTAAAGAAAAAGATGGTCTTCAGTACCACTTACAACTTTATATCAAGGAAAAATAACATTTATAAATTATGATTTATGTACATCCATAAAAATTATCAATTATAATTTATTAATTACTAATCAACCTCTTAAAACCAAAAAAAAATTAGCTTCGAAAATAATGTTTAATTGCTCAAATTCCTAAATGAAGGTCATTTATAGACTTTATTTACCTGAGGCTGAACATCAAAATCCATTTTTTTTACCATTCTACCAATATTCTTGACAATCTGTATAAATAGAAAGGAATAATAGCTTTACAGACCATTGAGCAGGTGTACCAAGGATTTGGTTAAAACAATTATACACAAAACTAAGTTTAAAATAACACATGGCAAAAAGAAATACAACAGATGTGATAATTTCAGAAGGAATATGAAACAAACCTCCAGTGTTACTTCTCCAGACTTGTCCTGCTTAAACACAGACTTAACTGCATCACAGGCTATTACTGAATACTGAAAAATATGAAACATAGCATATTGAGTTTAACCTGCCTCTAATTCAACTATGGCTTTTTATCTTTATTAATTAATTCTTATTCTAAATCATGAAAAGGGAAACTATTTAAAGATATTTACCCAAAATATGTGTTCACGTTAACGTTACAAGGGAGAAAATAATACTGTTCCAATTTAAAATGGTTTATTGAAATATTTATACAGGTAATACAATTATTATAAAAAGTATAACATAAATTATAATGTAAGTTAAAACAATAGGGATGTAGGCCAAAATGACATAGAAGACAAGATGTGTGGTTATGCTAGCTGCTGAACCACAACATGTTGCGTGCATTTCTCTATTACCCTGGGTTAGATGAAATGTTGTCACAACAAAACTTTCTGTCATAACACTGAACACGCTTTTATATAATTTTATGTCTTTGGGGGCGTCATTACCCCCCAAGATTTTCCAATTTTACCCTTTTTGAGTAAGTTAACCCTCTTTTCTGACCCCTGCTCTATAGCAACACTTATTCTTAACTCTTAACACCAAGGGCAAAGAAGAAATCATTATTATTTGTTTAACATTCAATAGTAACAATTAGAACGTTAAAAAGAAATGTAAAAAAATAATATAGACAAGTGTAATTCTAATAGCTTTTATATTTATATACTCTTACATACCTCATTGTTGGAGTGATTTGTAAAAGGAACGACAACAGCAATGATGTTGTTACGATAGTTAAAATGAGTATGATTCACAAGCATCTCACATAAGCATCGCAATGCTAGTTTTCCAAATTCCTAAAAAAATGTAAAGTTAAAGATTATAATCATGTTTAGTATAGGACCATAATCATTCAAACCTAATGTGTCTGGGTTATAAGGAAATAAGCAAAACAAAGTATGGAAAAACCGGGAAAAAAGGACGCAATAAAACAACAAACGTGTCGCCAAGAAGCCTTCTCAGCGAAAAAAAACAACAGTTGAAACAATATAAAAATAAACATTTACCTGCAAATTAGTATCTGACAGGACAGTAAGAGGAATGTGACAGAAATAATTAGATAAGAGAGGTAATACAGCAATACTAGCAAAAGGGGATGAAAGAGAGCATAAAAAGGAGGAGGCAGAGAAAAGTGTAACAAGTGAAGGAGAACAAGAAATTCATGCCATGTGGTGTGAAGGGCACATAAGTCTGAATCAGTTTGTTCTCCAAGTTCACCCCAGTAGGTGAGTTGGTACAAGACACAATGGCAATAATTGCCCTTGTGATCGCTTCTATTGAATGGTTTAGAGATGGGACACTGCTTATCATGCACAATATTTCAAAGGAATTCCGTAAATTTGTTCGAGAGGCAGCCCCCAGTCACACCTTGATACTACAGCTGGCAGTGGGTGCAAACAATGGTGTAGATAGCATTGTGGCCAACACAAAGGAGACCATCCCTTATCTGAAAACTACCCTTAGGGAAGGGAAAGTGTTGAGTCTGGATGACAAAAGCGCAAGTTTTGCAATGGCTGCGTCAACATGGCTTCGTCCCAAAGTGGAAGGGGTGGCCCGGAAGCAGATAAGCACAAGGATATCTCACACAATTTTTTTATCTTTTCTGAAAACAATGCGCGGAGGTATAGAAAATGTTGCGTTGTCAGGGTTGGCTAGCAGAATGGCACAATTTTTTAGAGAAAATATGTTTGGCTATGAGTTTGTGAGGATGTTATGCGAGAATAAGTTTGGTCTTGTTGCCATCATCACTCCAACAAGACCTGAAGGCATCAGAACAATTGATATTTTGAACCTTTTGAAACTCAATCCAACTGAGAGTTAGATCAGGCTTCTTGGGACAATTTTGTTGTTTTGTCCTTTTTTCAGGTTTTCCTATACTTTGTTTTGCTAATTTCTTTCTACCTAACCCAATTGCCGTCTCTCTCCCCTTATTACCATTTAAATGTTTCTGGGTCAAATAGGTGGCTGACTTTTTAATTTCAGGTTTCCTGGCCCACGTTGCTAAAAAAAAATTTAAGATATTTTAAGAATATTGTTTTTTTTAAATAATTTCTTTACTATAAGTCAGATACAATAGGTTTTCAGACAGTGGGTAATTCAGATACATGATCATATTCTTTATTCAATTCATGTCCTTTTCATAAATCATTTAATTTGAAAATCTACAGAGTTTTCCATTGAAATGTGCAATTCACTGCATTAGATTCAGTAATGATTGAAAAAAACAATGACAAGATTTTAGTGTACTACTTACTATTCTGCTTTCATGGGGAATTGGCAGGTCTGTGATTCTATGCTTAGTAAGAAAACTTTTATCCGGAATGGGTTTACCTATGGAATATATTAGAACAAAATTTTATCATTTAACTATAATTCAAATCAGATTAATATTTTTGGGAATATAAAATTTCTGATAAAATGTATCATATGCAATAAAAGTGATAGTTTGCTATAATTCTAAGACTCTCTGTAAGAACAGGTCTGAATTGACACAATATTTAATAATAGTATTTAATATATATATGAATTAACTCACCTTATTTAAAATAACCCACCTTTTGCCATAGTCTCTAAAAACTCAAGATAAATTTTGTAACTCAACAAAAATGATGCTTCATAATCCCACAAACTTTTTGTTTCTTTCTTCACCTGGAGTCAAAAGAATGTTTTAATTAAATTTTCACAGTTCGGTCAGATAGTGACATATCTTTTTTTTAAACTTTAATTTCTTGCATAGCATGCTATTAGTCAGGGCTTACCCGCTGAGCCTTTTCTTTTTCCGTTGGTATGCGAAGACGATATCCTGGCACAATGTCTTTGAAAACTTCCATAAGTGACACCATAGCAAACTTTCTAACTGTCAAAGGAGCACCTGGATCAGATTCTCCAAGCATAAGTCGAAGTTCTTTTAATTTGTTCATCTAGGTAAAAATTAGCATAATTATCAATATTATATAAAAAAATATATTCAAACAGATAATAAATGGGCAGATGAAACTTAAGACAAAAACTAATTAACAGAAAGAAAGCTTATTTATAATTACATTATTTTGAGGATCTTCAAGAATAGCATGTGACAAGGAAGCCATTTTCTGTTTTTTATCTTCAAGTTTCTTTTTTCTATAAACAATAAGTTGAGCTGCACTCATTGATGCCAGTCTAGCTTTTTCCTCTTCAACATCGACAACTTTATTTTCTGGAACTAATTCTTTGTTAGCTCCATTTATTGTATCCTCTGTCTGTTTAGAAGACAGTTCTGTTTTGTCTGTTTCTGCAGAGAACAAATTAGGAATAACATGTCTTTGATATAACAAAGAGAATAACACTCTAACCATATAATTAAGAAGTGTGATTGATTGATAGATTTGATATTTATATCGCGTCGGTATCCATGCCATTTTAGCATGCTCACTGCACTCTGTTCCTCCGAAATCTATTTAAACAAAAAAGTTTTTAATTGTTTCTTAAATGATTTTTTATCATTTACAATTCCCCTCAAAAATTGAGGCAAACTGTTCCATAATTTTGGCGTTATCGCTTCAAAAGAGCGCACTCCGTACGACTTTTTCTGTGTTTATCGAAACTAGGAACACTCAGCAAGTACTGTGATGAAGACCGCATGTGTATATAGGCAGTATGCAGTTTGTCAACCAGGGCAGATAATTCTGAAGTTAGTAAAAGTTTAGCATTTGATTTAAATAAAACACAAGCACTTCATGCCAATTTTTTTTATCATCATATAATTTGATTTCTTCATAAATTTAAGCCAAGCAATGAAGCTGAGGAGAAAACATCCATCCACCCCATAATTTTCCTAGAGAAGACTCCTTATTTTTTTAAGTTATATGAATAAGACATGATTTAATTTATTTCACATAAGTTATTATCTAAAGCCTACATCGTGCCTTAAAATAAGTTGCAACATATAAGAATAAGAGAGCCCAGAAGTTCATTCCTTTGCTAGAGTCGCATCAGTCCATCACAATGTGACGATGGTGTAGACTTCGTAAAATGAAATCACAAGTCCTGGGATTTTTTATAGGAGAATAAGCTGGTTCCCTAGCCAGAAGATCCCTCGCTCCGTGCAGCTGGTTAACCCTAGAGAACATCAAGTGCATGATACAGCTTGGCGCAATAGGTATCCCAGAAGTTGAGCCAATGTCATACCACCTAAGGGACTCAATTTCTGTTGCAATGTAATTAATAGATATTTGTCTTTTATTTTCAATTTACTTTAAAGTATAGTTACCTTTGTTTAAGTCTTCTTCAGCTTCATCTTGTTCCATCATTCTTTTGATTACCTTTCCTTTGTCTATTATTGGAAGCATCATTTTCATCTTCTGTAAATTCTTGTCTTCAGCAAAAGATCTAGGTTGCTGCTCATATTTTTCTTCTTCATCATTTATATCTCTTTTTCTTTTCTTACCACGAGTTGCACTCCTGTATAGAATGGTTATGTAATTAACTTGATGACCAGCCAAAGTGGGAAAACAATAAATTTCAGAAGAAAAGAGAGAAGAAAATTTTTATAGTAAAATGGTAATGATTTTAATTTTTTTTAAATTATGAGCAACTATTAGGCCAGAAATGGTTGTAAAAAGGCTTATTAAGGCAATTTTGCAGAGTATTTAGTCAATTAGGGGTCATCCATAAAAGATGTCCACACAAAAGGGGGGAGGGGGGTTCAGCAAAAAGTGGACTGAAGTGGGGAAAGGGGTAAAGGACAAAGTGGATGTCCACATTGTAGTGTTTTTTTGAGTGCAGCAGTTTTGCATAAATTTACTGCAAATTTACTGCCCGATCACAGTTACAGTAGCATGCCTTTTGATCTCTATTGACCATCGGTGGCTGGAAGAATTTCTAAGAGAATATGTTTCTGCTGTAAATATTTCCCATCACAGGCGGCAATGAAAAAACATAAGGTCGTCCATTGCAATATTCCTGCTGGTGAACATAATATGGCAGACGAATCAGACGAAGAGACTGCCACTCAAATTGAATTAGCAATTGAAGACTCAAGAACAGATGTTGTCATTATACGAAACATGTTTGAATGGCTGCATTCCGAATTTTCCGTTGATTGGAGAATGGTGGATTATTTGTTTACCGTATTACATTTTTTTAATACAGTGATTCAATAAAATGTTTTTGAACAGTTATAATTTCATTTAGAATTTTGTCTGCAAATAATTGGAATTTCTAAAAAAAATCTTTGTAAATACATACTCTTTATATTGTTGTACATTTTCCCAAAATATTAATTAATTTAAGTTCGGTAAATTTTATGTTTTGGATGTCCACAACTGGACAAAGGTGGAGGGGGGTAAAAAGTAGCAAAAAATTGGTGGACGTCTTTTATGGATGGCCCCTTACCCCAGAACTCCTAAAATTGCACAATATCGTCTCAAAATCGTGCAATACAGTAGCGTAATAGTTTATTAATAAATAAAAATACACCGTATATGTACCGGTATAATGTATACAATAACTACTGGCATCGCGCATCTAGTGAAATCAGTTAAGCACATGAACTTTTTGACAAGCTCCCACCTCTCCATTTCCTTGTGTACGTTACAATGAGCTTTTGACCCCAACCCCCGCCCCCTCCCCAAAAAAAACCACCAAACAAAACAACCAACAAAATCTAATAACCTTCAATTATTTATGATGTTAAAATATCGTAAACAAAATGTGACACATGTTTTAAGCAGTGGCGATTCGGCGAGCCCAGTGGTTTCCAGAATATATGCTGCATCGCCCTGGGTGCTTGCCCTCAGGCAGGGCCTTGACTATGGGGCAGAGAATAGCAATAGCAGGCGCCAAAATCCTCCTTATAAAAGACCTTAATAGTGAATTAAACAACAAAATCCCCATTTACTTACAATTTACAATGACAAGGGGTGCAATAAATTGTCCTATTGGTCCGCTCAGTTAAGGGGAGGGGGGGGGGATGCGCACATTTTCCTATATAGGGCTATATAATACAGAATTTTCATTTTTTTTTTTCCACTTTTAATCTAATGTGACAACTTTTGGTTGTGGTGCAGTAACCCACTTAACTAACTACTTGTACTAGATGGTGTGTAGTGACCTACACTACATATATTATATTTCTTTTTACCCAACCCTTTATTTTATTTTGTTTATGTATTAGCTATTTCGAAGTGTACTTGTTAGAATTTCACACAAGGAGGTTGAAGAAGCCTGGTGAAAACATAAATTTGGCTTAGGTACCGGGAAACATAAATTTTAGAACAACTGGCATAGCCCAACAAAATAGACATCGCATGCATGTAGAAATTACGGTGGACTAAATATTACTGTAATATCTCTACTACTGAATACTATCTGAGAATAGCTAGCGACTTCATTTGTTAAAATACCGGTACATGATAACATCACGATGATAATTCCTACACCGGGTAATATTTTACAGCATTCGAAATATAAATATGGTATTTTAGGACTTTCAGAATTTAAGATGAATATTGCAGAATTTTTTGTAATAACGCACATACTTTCTGCCGATGACACACCTCCCCCCCCCCCCCCCCCCCCAACAATATCATTACAAAAATTTTTGATGCCTTTTTAAGGCCTTAAGATCCACAAATAAGATAAGTGAATTTTTAAAGCAATATTTGTATTGTAATAAAGGTACGGTACCTGTAGTTAACTTAAAATAATATGCTGTTTTAGCTTATGGTTTCCCCAGATGTCCTATGTAAAATTTTAACAAATACATTTTTTCGAAACAGTGAGTACCGGTATGGGGTACAATTATTTAAATTAACAGGTTGGGCACTTAGTACTTAGCATCTAGTAACCAAATAACCAGAAAATAGTTTGCAAGAAGTTTGTTTTGAACGAAAGTTTGTTCAAAATGAAATTTGTTAAATGGAAAATTATGTATATATCCTTTAAAATGTTTTTAATAGAAGACTTAGAAAAGGGGAAATTATAAACTTAATTTTTTTAGATTTATGTTTTTTTTTTTCTTCATTATTTCATGTTGAACAATATTCCTTTGAGTAAATTTATTTTAAAAAATTTTTGGGTGTCCAATAACTTATGTTAAGTAAGAGAAAAGGGTGGTGGGGTGTGGCGGTTAATTTGATTATTTTTTTTTGCCAAAGCATGCATAGCCCGTAATTTAATTTATATAATTTTTGCTTTATTAAATTATGTATGCAGAGATATATTCCAAACTAGTCTCTTGAGAGAATGTCTATTTGTAAACATTTTTGCATTTTGATAATATAAATTATTTCTCAGGTGATAAGGGACTGGGAAAAAGAAAATGTCAGATAAATATCTAAGCTCAAGTAAAGGTCCTGCATTCTGTCAGTATGCTACAAGTAAAGGGCAAAATCTGTTTGAACGTGGGTATTGGAATCCTATGCCTGTCAATACATACTTAAGTGGGGATGGAATGTCACATTGTTATCGTGGTCCTGCATATTATGTTCCATCTGAACGAGCTTGGGTGGACTACAAAGATTATCGTTCACTGCCTCCCTTGACTCGTCGTGATGCAATACACATGGACAGTGAAGATAAGTACAGGGAGTTTCAAAAGAAGAGAGATAGTAGACCACATCCTTCAGGTAAAATATTTTATCTTTAATTACTATTGTTACAAAAGCAATTATTAATTTAAATTAAATTTAAATATGAAAACAAGACAACAGTATTATTGCTCTTTAACATTTAAATTCTGTAGAAGGGCATTATATTAAGGTTACCTCAGTCAAATAAAAATAAAAGCTTTTAAAATAGCAATGGTACTTTAGTTTCAGACACATTAAAAGAACTGAGTTTGATATGCATTTAAAAATTAAAGACCCTCTATTGCAAAGTAACCATTTTCAGTTGACCTAACCAGGTAGAAATGGTAGAAGAGGACTTAAGCCAAAACATATTTTATTTTTGCATTTATTCACCCTTTGATGACAAATTCTTTAACTGTAAATGTTACACCCTTTTTGTCAGGGATCTCAATGTCTGGTTATCCTATGAACTTTACTGGAGTACCGTATCCACAACTGATTCCTTTTCATACTGATGCTTGGAGGAGACGTTGGGATGGACCAGGCAACTTTGTTCCACCAGCTGATAAATGGGTTCATGAAAACCCAGGCTCACTATATCAAGCTTACAAGTTCTACAATGAAGAAGATTACGATAAATTTAGACATCTCAATGAAGCCCCAACATGTAGAAAAAAAATTGCGCGTTAAAGAACTTATGGCACAGTTTACTCATTGATTATGATAGAAAGCTATAAATACCCTAGTTCACAATTCAGAGCTGAATAAACATCAAAGAAATACAGAAAAATATTTTTAAAAATCATCAGACATTGGGTTTATCAGAAATTACATCTACTTTTAGAAGTTTTATTCATAAAAAAAAAGTCTTATAAATAATGAAAGAAATTTAATGAAATGTTTAAAAAAAAATAATTACCACTATACCATATAGTTCTTGTCTCATTTAAATTCCTTTCCATTATAATAAGAATGCTAATTATCTAGATGTTGTTTGTATTTGTATTGTAGGTAGGGATTGAATTAAACGCCTTATTAGTACATTTGTTTTAGACTTGCCATAAAACACTAATTGTTTTAGGAATTTCTAATCAAATGCTTACATGATCTGACAAATGCGGTATGCGAATATTCAACAGTGCTAAATCCAGTAATAATATACGTAAATAAAGTGTTTTCATAGATTTTTTTTTTTTTACAGTGATTCAGTGAATGTCTGTAAACTTATATTTTCTTTTTTGAACTTCAAAATCTTTTTCACGTTTTGAAAACCCAAGTTTAAAAAAAAATCAAATAGAAAACAATGCAACAGTATTAAATGTAAAATAATAAACTTTCTTTCCTTGCTATAATTTCGATAAATTCACTGGGAGTGTGTACATATGGTTTGATATAGTAATTTGTGTGTGTGGCTTATTCAATTTATTTTACATGTTTAATTTTTAAAGCTTACCTTTAGGGTGGTATTTGATATTTTTATTTTTCATATTTAGTATAAGTGATTGTATTACAGTATTACATTTGTAAATAGACAAGTGTTTATAATAATTTTACGGCAGACTTCTCTATCAATGAAACTTTTGTATAAGTAACGCAAATTGCTTACACTGTTCAAAAAATTAAATCTCAATGTTTTAAATAATAATTCATATCCTTTATAAGCCATGAGAAAATATATCCTGGAAAACAATAACTAAATTCTTATAATAAATCATTTGAAAAATTACATTTATTGTTTCCTTTTCAATATTTTGTAATTGTATTATTAAAAAATCTGACTCGAATCAGCCTTTAAAATTTACATCTATAGTTACATATTGTTAGCTTAACACTTTGTTCAAACTTCATTAAAAAAAAACACAACACATTTAACAATGTTTATATATTGTTGATCTTTGATGCTTTTCAAAAATAGCTGATTGTTTCTACAATGCCGCCATTGTTCTAATTCTATTACCTTATGTATCTTTAAAAAAAAAAGCATACAATATAATGTTTAGCACAGATACTTCCTTTGCATGTCTGTTTGTATCTATGGTAACTATTCTGAACATTTCCAAAAAGAGATTACTGCCACTTGTCAATAAAAATTAATTGGACTCCTTGTCATAGACTTCAGCAGTATATTCTGATATAATATCAAATATAAAGTTTGCATACTGGTACCATAAGTCCAGATTTTATACTAGTATTAAATATTGGTCAGAAACTGGTACCAAACACAGAATGTTCTAAAGATAGGTTTCAACTGCTACCTCATTCTACTAAAATATGACAATCTGATGTTGCTTGGAAAAGTTGGGAATGCATTGTAAGAATGAAATATGAAGGCCAGCTTTATGTGCATTGTAATAGAATTTTGCACACCACCAATTTCCCATTCTACTTTAGGTTGACTTTCATTTAATTAAATTACTTATTTCTTCATTTTTTTCTTTAATGGAAGCAATGTACCAGGAGAAAATTTCTAAAATCTCCTATGACTCATGACCTCTCATAAGCCAAACATCCCACTTATTCCTCTGAAATATTTCCCAAAAAGTTCAGCATTTGAACGAGTACATACAGTATTCATTTTAAATTTAAAACCCAATAATGCCAATGGTTACTACAGTATTTGAGTCAGTGCAAAAATATGATACCACGCTATGCCTTATGACAAATAAATGAACAATCATTATCTTATAGGATAATACAATGAAATAGCATTAAGTCTTGCTAATCAGTGTTCAAAAACTAAAGATTAAAAAAAAATTCTTTTATAACATAGCAAAGTCAAACCAATACATAAATATTAACTTCAAGAAACAAATGACAAAATACATTTTCATAAGGTGTTACATTTTATGCCATTTTATAAACATTAAAATATTCTGAGTTCTATATTGTATTAGTATTAAATAAATTAAGGGTTAAGAAATCAGAGCACTTTGGTACTCACTATGAAATTGATTTATTCTTTACACTAACATATATGAAATAAGTAAATAATATAATGCATAGACATTTACCCAGAGATCATAAACCTATTGTCCCATTTCAAATTGTTATTTTCTTTATTGAGTAGGTTAATAAGACAAAGTCGTTTCAAAAAAGATTCCAGGTTTTGGCAGCTAGGCAAGGAATGATAAGCCCAGTCAAAGTAGATGATAAGAGATTCACAGAATGGTTATCTAGAAATTCCCATCCACTGATATGTTCAATGTCTGGTCCCTTATATTCCACAATACATCCTAGTTTTTTGTGTTTTCCTGAAAAAAAAACAACAACAGATAATCCTGTAAAAACTTGTTGTACCGGTATATAGATACACATCACTTAAATAAAAAGCTATACAAGTTTTAGAACTGTTGCATCCCCCATTATAATATTAAGCATGAAACATGAAAAGAAATGTGACTTTAGACCACATTCGCATGGTACCAGTAAAAATTTTTTTAATTTGATCTGATAACAATATCTCATGATAGTACTTAATAATTGTGATCCAATTCCAATACTATTATGTCTTACCTGAAAATTGTAATGAGGCTCCCAAAATGGAATCAATTATTGAGCCCATAAATCCAGCAATAGCACCATAGAAAATAATAGGCCATTGTTTGGGGGAATCCAGAAGATTTGCCCAACTAATAATAAGAAGTTCGGTAGCATAAAAGGCCACACCTACAATGGCTCCACCTAATATACTACTTATGGTTCCATACAAGGATATTCCACCATTGCAGCCTAAAATAGTTGAATTTAAATAAAATTTAAAACAAAATATGATATTTTTTATAAATTCAAAATGCTCAGAAGTACTATAGTTTTCTTTTTTTTTTTTTGCATGAATAATGAACAGAAATAAATACAATTTGAGATATGCTAAAGAAGGTAAGGTTTCAATAGAGTTAATGTCAATATTTTAATTTTATGAATGCTAATTTCTACCTTAAAACTTGGTTATATATTTATTAGTATAAGAATCAATCAAGGCACTTGTTTTCTTCATTAAATATAGTTAAATTATAGCACTAAGGCTTCTGAGTGCTAGAAGGCCTGTGAGTGCTATTTTTATATTTAATAATAAAACATACCCATTAAAACATTTTCTCAATCTTTTTACAAAAGGTACAATTACCATGAATAGCTTTACTTTTCTTTTATCTTAAGGTATTAATTACTTATGTAAACTGGGAGAAAATTAAAAAGTGTCAGTCAGTATGTATCAGTTCTGTATCCCTTATGATTACTCAACAGTTTGAGTCAAGGCTTAAAACTAACTGTTTTAGGCCATAAAGAGAATAAAAGGAATTACAAGTCATATAATTTATAAATTCATTATAAACAAGAGATTTGGCAATACTACAGGGGTGCCACTTTTACGGATTATCCCGGAATTCCAGATCCGTGAGGCTAAATATTTTTCAGCTCTGGATTTGGGAGTTTTTATTTTCTCTCATTCCGGGTTCGCCAGCTCAGTTTTTTCAAATACGGATTCTGGGTTTTAAAAACAAATCAACGTGTAAGAACGTGCGAAAGCCTATTCAGCGAGAAGGGGTTCACTATAAATATAACAGGAACTGCGACCTCTCGCATTGTTTGGAAGCCTCTCGATTTCATTTGTAATCATTGCACAATAAATTATTTCTGTATGAATTTTATGGATGAGTTTCGTTATGTTTCAGGGTTTGAAAAATTTGTACGTTTCAGGTTCCAAGAAATTTTGAGAAAGGGATTTCAGGGTTCAGAGCTTTCAGTGAGTGGTGAGAAAGGGATTTCAGAGCTTTCAGTGAGTGGTGAGAAAGGGATTTCAGGGTTGAGAGCTTTCAGTGAGTGGTGAGAAAGGGATTTCAGGGTTCAGAGCTTTCAGTGAGTGGTGAGAAAGAGATTTCAGGGTTGAGAGATTTCAGTGAGTGGTGAGAAAGGGATTACAGGGTTCAGAGCTTTCAGTGAGTGGCACCCCTGCAATACTTTTCACCAAACATGTTGATTATTATTATTACTTTATTGTGTATTTATGCATCCATGTGCAGGTAAACATATGATTAACCAATTAAATTTTTCCTAATTTCAAAAGAAGCCAAGAACACAACGATGATTTATCACAGCTAGAAGGTATTCAGAACTAATATATTCTTTTTGTGTGTGACAATGGGTGAAACTACTAAATCAGAATTAAAATAAGGTAACCATAATGTACATGAGATGGAATGATAGTTATTTAGGTACTAATAATTTTATTTCTTGTAATATTCTATTACTTCTTGAAGGTATTAAAGTTTTTAAGTAAAAAAACAGTATACATTTTTAACCTCGAGGTACAGGCTTCCAAGTGAGTATGTTTATTGGATCTTTTTTCCCCAAAACTACGCCGAATTCAGAAGAAAAAGTATCCCCACATGAGCTGGCCAGAGCAGACATGACTGCTAATGCATACCATGAAGCAGCATATAATTTTGAGAAGTCAATGGATGCATCCACTGAACCTACCTAGATAAGATTAACATAAATGCAATTACCAAAAGGCCTATCAGTAAAAGCTAAAGATTTAAACTTATTTTTTATCATTTGTCAAGCCCTCTCCCCCACTAAGCATATGCAATCTCTCTTAATCCTGATCCTCCCACTTTGTAAATAATAATAGTTGACCCCTGAAGAGGTTTTCTGTGGGTTTTTAACATCTTTTAAAAATAAGAGAAGATAAACATTGAAAAACGAATGATCTGAAAGTGATAAATTTACCTCAAACATATAAAAAACTGCAAATGCTGCTGCTGGACCACCATTGCAGACTACCTGAACCCAATTTCTTTGACCACCTACAGTAATAAATATTGTATTTTCAAAATTATTTTACTGGAATAAATTTAAAAATATAACCTTGAAGCATCACATTCATGGAAACAGAATATAATTTGTTTTCAATTACCAGAATTAGTTTAATATAATGGTACTCTAGGCCAGTGGTTCCCAAACTTTTAAGTTTGGCGGACCGGTGAACAAGTTTCAAAATTTTACCAGGGACTGGTGCATGATTTATTTTTTTACTTTTATTTCTATTTGACAATAAATATTTATGTTATGGGGACCGGCAGCGTTGGGCATGCGGACCGGTGAAGGTCCACGGATCGCCATTTGGGGACCACTGCTCTAGGCCTCATTTATTCAAAGGACACACTAAAACTACAAAACCTTGCGACTCCAATGAAATTGTGACCAATCCTTATGTACCAGGTACTGTAAACATTTATTCATTTACTTAACAAACTTACCCTAAAACCTCAATAAAATAAAATAAAGATGAAAATAGTATTTTACACCATTGTGCCTACCTTCTTTGAAATCATGTTCAATCTTCCTTTTTTTTTCAGCTTTGAACTTAGTAGCCTTTGAGGCAAATATAAAAAATGCTAACAGAGATATCATAAATCTCAGGCCACTTATTGTAAGCAGGAAGCCAATAATTAAACCTGAAAAAGCAAATATTATACATAAATATTACATTTTTTTTTTTTTTTATAGTATAATTGTTAAAGGAAAAACTTACAAACTAAATGCAGGCTCTGGCAACAAAATAAATAATACACTTTATAAGAAATTTTTAATGTAATTAATTATAAGGAAGACAACACTTACAATGGCCTCCCAAATATTTATATTATTTTCCTTAGAAGGAAAGAGGAGGATTGAGTGAATTAAGGCAGTATTATATAAAGTACTAATTTCATGGATTACAATTAATATAATTTATCTTAATGGGGCATTTAATTTTTTTAAATTTCAATCTTGAACGAGCCCAAAAAATAAATATGAGTATTAAAACACTTAACTGCTGCTGCTCCAGACTGGTTTAAACTTTTTTTATGCAAGCCATAAACAATAATTAACAATGGTATGATAACAGCTGTCGCCCACTGCCATGTAGCAGGCATTTTGGGACCTGCAATAGAAATTAAATGACAAAATTTATAACTTTTGCATATGCATACAATAGCCAAAAATAATAGTTAAATTATATTTTTAAAAAAGTCTAACTAAAAGTTAAGCATCATTTGGGTGTATTTTTGTTGTTGTAGATACCAGGGTGGTGGGGCAGACTTATTTTGACAGACCTCCATTCCGGGCCAATTTTTGTTAGTTGTTAGCTCCAGCTATACTCCGAATTACGGTAATGTGCAATAACAGTTTAATATCAAATAATAAAGTTTCATAGATTAATCTGTCAATAATCCGTAATTAGCCAAATTGGATTTTTTTGTGCTGATTAATCGGCTTAACCAAGAATGCTGACCCTAACTTTTGGACGCCATCAAACTTCTGACATTCATGAAATTTCATTATACCCTTCTTCTTCTGGGTTTAGGTTATCTAAATTATTGTCACATACACCAACACTTGCTCAATCAAGATGTCAAGTCTAGGCCTTTACATACATCAGTTTATTACTTCAATAACTTAACATATAATACTTAAATAAATGTATCATGCAGCTCCAATCCACAGAATCAATGTGAGATAGTAAATCACTGAATACAAAATATATGATTATAGTTCTCAAATTATATAATTATTCGCAGACAATAGATTCATACAACCTCCTTGTGACACTATGAGTGACTGACGATTATTTTTATAGTGTGTATTGATTGAACTTTGTGACTTGATTGTCCTGTGTTGTTATCATGTTGTATGAATGGACATCTTTCAAAATGTGTGAATATTGGTTGGAGAACTGGAGTGAGTGATCATGTGACATGGGGTATAAAAAGAATGTAGAATGGTGAATAAAGGCTAGTTGTTACATAGACCACAGACTTGAGTTGATATTTTATTATACTATTACTAATTACACTCCTCCTTTGAATATTCTAAAGTCATTGCTAAATTTAACATGCTCGCCAATATGGCTGACAGTATAGTCCCATTTTTTGTAATTCATTATCTGTACTCTTCCACCACATGATGTCTGGGTGAGTTTTACTCTCTGGAATGGTAAACAACCACTAACTAACGCACATATTCTGGTGAAGGTCTGAGATTATTCTTTTATGACCCCGGCTAGAACATTAGCTACCAGCTCCATTTGCTGAGCCATACAACATTTTCCTCACGTAGGGCTCTCCAAGCGCCTTGGCTTCCCTCAGGTCATCTAGTGAGGAACATTCGGTTAACAGGTGTGCTAGTGTCTCCGGGACTAGGCTGCAATGTCGGCAGGTAGGGTCCCTGTTGTTATCTAGCCGCCAGAAGTATGCGCCTATGGGGCAGTGCTCAGTGCACATCTGCATCACTAAACTTGATGTCTACGGCCTAACCCCCACCATGGGTCCTGTCTGCTATGAGTGGGCAAGTTTGAAAAGAAAACTTTGGCAGTCCTATTGTCTGCCCATTGCCTGTACCACTTCAACCTGAAGTGGTCTGCCAGCCAGTTCTTTATTCCCAAATAAGTTAGTAGTACTTCTGGCCGAGGTTAGGCAGTCCCCGGTTTTTGCCAGTGTGTCTGCTTTCTCATTGCCACTGACGTTGACGTGACCTGGGATCCATTGCACTGTCACCTTGCCTCCTAGTTCACCGACCTTGCGAACGTCATCAATTATGGCGTCAACTAGGTGAGTAGTACCTGATCTCTTTTCCAAGATCTCGAGAGCAGATCTTGAGTCAGAGTAAACGATCACATCGAGAGCACTAAGCTCCGTGTCTTTCAACGTGTGATACACACTCTCTTGGGCCCTGTGAATAGCTCTCAAGCTCTGCATCAAAGTTTGATTGCTGCAGTCCCACAGAGCCCTAAGAATTCTTTATTTGGTGGTCCCCCTGCTGGGTACAGTATGAGTGCACCATACCCAGCAGTTCTGTCTCTCAGATTGGCAGAGCCGTCCGTGAACACTTTCACTGGTATGTTGGCAAACATAGCCATGTTCTCAAGGGCAGCCGCTTTCTGAACTTGTTCAGGGGCTGCGCTTCGTCACCGCTGTATCGGTCATGGCCAACTGTATGGAGGGACATGAGAGTTCCGATAATGGCGGATTGACTGGGATTAGGGTCAGACGTTCTCTATTGCCAGGCAGGTCAATCGTCCTCTCAAGCTCTACAACCTGGTGCATGAATGAGGATCTCTTAAGTCACCTGCCCGCCATCCAGTTGTTCTGCATCTGGAACGACAGTTCCTTCTCGTTTAGCCGCCAGTACCTCTCTACGGTACTTAATATAATATTTCTTTTTCCCTCCTGCGGTTATACATTGGCCAAAACCTCTACAGCAGCTGTGGGTGTGGTCCTAAATGTTCCACAGATGAGTCTCAAAGCCTGATTCTGGATTCGACCCACCTTTTCATTGCGGCCTTGCTTGCAAAGGGTTGGACCGGCATGCAGTAATCCATCCCCGACCTTACACTGCCTAGAAATAGAGCTCTAGGCATTCTTGCTCCCACACCCCAACTTGTGCAAGCCAGTTTTTTCACCAGATTGAGCTTGGCGGTTGCCTGGGAGCAGAGGTCTTGTACAAAATTATGCATTAGTACCTTTTGATCCAATTTGACCCCCAGGTAAACCGGTTGCTTGTTCCATTGGAGCGCTACATTGCCCACCTTGAGATTTATCCCATTTATTAGAATAGTCCGCCCGCTGGTCAAGGGCGAATGAACCGTCTTCTTAGTGTTGATTTCCAAATGCCATCCCCGCAATGAACCTGTTGATAGAAGAAAGTCCTGCTGTAATAGCGTTTGCAGGCGGTAGACTTCTTTACCAGTGCTCCAGATAACCAAATCGTCAACATTCATCGCAGCATTAGTAGCTAGATTTTGTGGCAAGTCATTAATATAGGCTAGGAAGAGAGTGCAACTAAGGACTGACCCTTTGGTAGCCCTTCTTCAAGGGTTCTCTTTGCTGCCGAATTTTGTGCTGATTGTCCGGTATGTAAGCAAACTGGCAACCCCACCTGTACAAGTTGGCAGTTACTCCCAACTTTTGCAACTGTAACATTAGACCAGAGCTCCAGACCCGGTCATAGGCCTGATAGAGGTTAACAAATACAGCCATTGTATGAGACTTTGAGGTTAACAAATACAGCCATTGTATGAGACTTAGAGGTTAACAAATACAGCGATTGTATGAGACTTTTTCTGGATTGTTATGGACTGGAGAAGATAGAGCACTTGATCTACGGGCTGCATTCCCTTGCGGAAGCCTGCCTGTATTGGACTGAGGCTCCTGGTACTCTCCAGGTACCAGAAGAGCCCCTGGTTAACCTTTCTCTCAGCTACTTTCCCTAGACACGATGTTAGGAAAAACGGTCGGTAGCTGGTCGGTTGATCGAGTTTCTTCCCTGCTTTGGGAATAGAGATGATGGTAGCACTAAGCCAAGCTCTGGGTACGATTCCTGTTACCCAAGATCTGTTTATGATTAACAATAGCTGTCTCCTAGCTATCGGGCCAATGTTTTTGATAGTTTCGTTGCAGATCTTGTCCGGATGTGGTACTTTGGCAGCGTTAGACTTGTCGATGGCGGTTTGCAACTCAGTCATAGCGGTAAAGACCTCAGCCTGTAGTCCCCACTGTTGGGCCACATCTCCATGCTTCCGGGGACGGTTAAGGTTCTGGCTTTCTCTGGACTCCTTCTGCCTCCTATTAATCTTTGCAAGATGTTTATTTAAAGCCTCGCCACTCTTGGCATCTGTGGCAGGCATGCCAGTAGTCAATTGCAATGGACGCAGATTACAAACCTTTCCCCTTCAACTTTCCGGCTTTGGTCCATGCTCTCTTTTGTTCACGAACCATCTCTGCCAACCTCTTGTTCCAAAAGGGGCGGAACTTGCAGTTTTTGTTGGTTCTAGGGATAGTTTTCTTTGCCACTGTGAGAATATCACTCACAAAATTGCTGTATGCAGCGTCGGTGTTGTCGGAGGTATCCCTGCTGATTCCTAGATCGTTCTCTCTATTCTTTCTCAGAACAGAGTCCAATTGGCTTTACCGAGCAGCCAGTGCCTCCTAGTAAACCTTGGTTTCGCCAGCACAAGATCAATTGTGATGAGGGTCGGTCGATGGTCACTACCAACCTCATCTAAAACTTGACACTGAATCTTTGCCTCGAGCTCGGCAGAGACCAGTGTTACATCGGGGCAAGACATGACACTGTATGGAGCAGTGTGGGCACACTGGCTCTCGACCTCCTCTAAGTAGCGCCCTGAGGCAAATATTGCTAATGGTAAAGAACTTACTTCCTAATCCTACTCTCAGGGCCAGATTATGTGATGATACACGCCTCACCCACATTAAAAAATAATCTGAGTAAGGACATCACTAAGTAGTAAGATTTTAATCCATGACAATCCTAACATAAAATTAATCATAAACCCTATTATACATCAATCTCAAGAATATGTCCTGCTATTCCATATAGTAAATCATAATTAGTCAATCAATATGAACTTTTATGAAAATCATTTTATGTATATATTGTTACTTGTCTTGCTAAAATAAATCTGCATATGAATATTACTCATAACGTTTTAAATAATTAACTTTCATATGTTTCATAATCAACTTTTATAGGTTACAAAATTACATGTGTAGTATCATTTAGTATGAATTTATTCTATGTACGGTATGAATAACTTTTGTTCAAATAACTTTTAATACCGTAACTAACGAATAGTAACATTCAAAAGTTTCTGAAACAGTGTTTTTAAAAAATCACTCTTTACAGATAAAATATTTAACAGTATATCTCTATCTTTATCAACATGTAATAATTTTGTAGCCAAAAATAACCGACACTGTCTGTAGTTCCACAAAATTTATGATATTGTCTATTTATACTTGTCTTGTGACTTAGAAAGATATAATTTGGAAAAATGTAAAGTTTCTTTCTATTACTTTACAAATACTGGTATGATTAGAAAAAATTATCATTTGTTACACATCATTAAGAGCATTTTTACACAACATATCATGGATATCAAAATTGTTTTAAAAAAACTGACTTGTTTAAGTACAGGTATTACAGTGAAATTTAAATATGTTTACTCTTATGTTAACCTTAAATTTAAAAAGTTACAATCTTTGACTGATATGTTTCAATCCTGTCTTTTTTGTCATTGCCTTTGAATTCAAAGTGTTTTGACAAAAGGTCTGCAACAATATTTTCTTTACCTTTTACTTTTATTGCCTTAATGTCATAGTGGTAGTCTATTACACCTAGTTAGGTAAACCTAGAGCATTTACAATTATAAGCGGAAATTTTGGATTTGCCATCGCTATAAAGTGTCCAGAGAATGTGTTTATTGCACCATTAACAACAGATTTGTGTGTTGTCTTATAACTCTCCAACTTCATGGAGTAGATCCAGCTCATTCTGTGCATTACACCAGGCACATGCACATGCACATGTAAACCAGGATTTCAGATATACCTCCATTACAATAGTTTTGAAGTTGCTTAGAGATGACAGGTCACACGGGATTGGGAAACAGGAAGATTTTGAGACTATAAATCATCTTCTCCATCCACCGCATTTTGTGGTAAGCTCCTGTTTGTCTGTCTACTGAAAGCAACTTCCTACAGGTCTAATCAAAAATTTGAAAATGCTTCAGATTGTTAAATAGGTCCAGAATTTGGTCATGTAATTTCTATTTCTTGAAATGGATCATACTCATAATTGCAATTTCATCTTTGGTAAATTTCTTAGCAAAATGCACATTTTTAGAAGAGTCTGTTAATATGATAAGTCTTTCCTTTGATTTCTACATTTGATTGGAAACAAATCATTATTGAAAATCAAAATAAACTCCTGCCAGAAAATGTATATTATCAAAAAGATATTTCTCCCAGTTGATCATAGTTTTGCAATTTTATCAACAATTTCACCACCACTCTTTTGCAAATAATGTTTATTACATTTTCTAAAGACCATTCAGCTTGGAGTTTCAACTAATAAAACTAACTTCAACACTCAAACGTTAAAATGCAATGCCTGGTCACATTAAATTAAAATTAATATGATATGGGCATCAAAATGTTACATACAGTCTTACAGAAACAATGAATGCCTGGTATATAATTAATTATATTATAGAAGAAATGCATCAACGAACTGGAATGGAACATTTGGGTAGAAAATGGTGAAGGTGAATCAAAATTACAAAATTGGCAAAAAGAATTCTGAGTATTCAATACTTTCTTTAAGAGTATTAATTTAATTTTTCTTTTAAATTTGATGTGCTGTATGGTCTTGGTTGCACTCAAAGGATTTACATTAAAAATTGTAAATTTTTTATACAATGGAATTTAAAAAAAAAATTAATTTATAATTTTATTTTTAATTAATTAAATAACTTTTGCCAGGCCCTACCATAAAACTGGACTAATTTTATCTTAAAAAAATTACTCATATTCAAAAAGGAATGAATGTCATATAAGATAAATAAAAAACTTAGAAGCTGATAGTGATTAAGTAATCATTTAAACCAGGCCTGCACAACATATGGCCCTCAGGCCGCATCTGGCCCGCCAGCACCCACTTTGCGCCCCGCGAAGTAACGAAATATTTTTTATTCGTACTACTTTCTTAATAGCTTTCCCTATGACCTATATTCTTTTGGCCCGCAGAAGTCTTGTCCTACTTTCTTTTGGCCCGCACACGTTTTTCATAAAGCATTACGGCCCCGCCTTACATTTTGAGTTGTGCAGGCCTGATTTAAACTATAGTTAAATTACATAATGTAGTACATGTAGTTTAATAAGCTTAACTTAGTGCATGTTATTAATAACAACAGTCATAAAAAGAAATACTTCTTTCCAATGAGTAACATACCTGATTTAGAAATTGCATTAAAAAACAATCCGGCAAACCAGGTTAGTCCCAAAACTTGTAAAATAATTACAATGAAGATTGCTAACAACATTTTCAGCAGTACTTCTTAATGTAAAATTGTATTACACTCTTTCTGCCTTCATTCTGAAATTTAAAATAAATAAAATATCAATAAATAAATTTGTAATGGAATGAAATGACCTGCTATTACTGTTGTAAAAAATGAATACCCTTTTTTTAACTTCTTGATGCTCCTGTGTTACAATCAGTAATTTATTATTTTTTTAAAAAGAAAAAAAAAAAGAAAGAAAAAAGGGACTTAAATTTACATCTTTTATCTCTGAAAATTATTATGGCAACTATTTAGACATTAACCCTTTTCAGACAGAGCCTTTTTGGACTGTCGATGACAAGAAGACGGAGACATTTTTACACTTTACAAAAAATATTAATAAAAAATAAAATAACTAATTTACACATATCTGGTATAAAACTATGCATAATATTATTGGAAATTGAATGAACTAAAACAGCGGTTCTCAAACCTGTGGGTCGTGAACCCTATGGGGGTCGAAAGACCCTTACACAGGGGTCGCCTAAGACCACTGGGAGGCATACCCTTACACAGGGGTCACCTAAGACCACCGGGAGGCATATATTTATGAAGTAGTAACGAAAATAATTGTTGAATCTTAAATAAGTCCTAACAAACATTTGAATGAAATTTAATTAAATGTGAAATACTGCATGAAATATATTCCCTTGCCCCTGGGGATGCTCTATTTAAGTCTTAGCAGGGATGGCCAACCTTACTTTTTGTCCCTTTTACTGTTGTGCATAAAAGAAAAAGCAGCTGCAGAGGCATAGTGCCCAGTGGAAATTATTTTAGGGGGTGGGGTGTGGGTGGGGGTGTGTGTGCAAGATAGTTCTAAAATTTACAAGCTTTAGTCAGTCAAGTTTAGTTTGAGACAATAATCTGAACAAATATTATATTTGATCAGTGCAAAGAGTGTGGCACATTTACCTTATATTTAAGTTATATTTAGCTTAGGCCTACGCCTTATAATAAATATATTAAATTAAATGATACGACTTACTAATTACTACATATTTAAAGGCTAATACCAATGCCCAGAGAATGAGAATTGGTGCCATTAGGGATACATTTACTTCATTTAGGGTTCAGGTTAGGTTTAGGCTTAGGGATAGGGTTGCCAGACGTCCGGCAAAAGGAGGACATGTCCTCATTTTTAGCTCAATATCTCCGTCGGGCAGGCAAAGCTAAAATCTTTTAAAATTAAAATTTCCAGCTTTTCTTACATTTTATATTTTAATTTGTATGTATCGTTGTTACAACTATTACATCGTATGTTTACGTTGTTACAATGTACAAAGTCTATGCATTTCTGCGAACCAGTCGATTTTAGTCATTCTAACAATCTAGCTCTGTGCTGTTATCTATGGTCAAAATGTAATGTTATTTCTGGTTTCAGCAACAAAGAAGCAAATTTAAATTGTTTTTTTAATTTGTAATTTTTGCCGTCTATGTTTATGAAAATGGCTTCTACAAAGAGAAAATGCAAATTCTCGAACACTATGAAAAATAAGTTTCCTTGCTTTGTTGAAGGACGCAATGAGAATGAGGCAAAGTGTACTATTTGCGATAGTTACTTGTCCGTTGCCAGCAAAGGAGCTACTGACTTGGAGCGCCATGTTGACAGTGAGAGACATAGAAACCTAATCAGATAGTAATCAAAGTGTCCGCGTCATCGAACAAATAGACGTCTTTTTTTTCAGCATAAGTCCTAAGTATTCAAAAGTGTTGCTGAAAGCACATGGGGCTGAAGCAACTTTGGCATTTCATACAGTTTGTTATCATCAATCTTACAACTCGATGACCTGCACAGCTGGTTTGGTTGCACACATTATTTGAAGATTCGGAAATCGCAAAAATAAATGTCCTCCTTTTTGTTTTATTTAATTATGTCCTTTTGCCAAACTTTTGGTGTCCACGTATCTGGCAACCCTACTTAGGGATATATTTTGGGCTTCAGGTTAGGTTTAGTGACAGTGAATTATTTAAAAGTTCACGGGTTGTGGCAAACCTTTAACTTTATAATATTAATTTATTTATGTCTCTAACTTGAGTCTAACACAAACACTAACTGTCACTAACAACACTCACTCAGTCTCTGTGCCGTGCCTGTGACACAATATTTTTTTTTTAGCTGTCAATTAAATGTAACTTGCAACTGCGGTCAGTTTCCGTGAATCTGGAATCAAAGTCGACAAAACAGACTGTTGAATTGAGTTATCGGTACATCTCTTTATTACAATATTACACTTAGTTTCCTAACCAGATGGCCGCCGCAATTTTCTATGGCTCACTATTTTTCCATTTTTGATATTATAATTATAATTAGACTTCCATACCCTCAATCATTTTTAATAATAATGTAGATTTTTTTTTTGTTTAGCCAGCACTAATTTTTTAAAAGCTAAAAAGCTCCGGGCTATGTTTTTGTAAGGAAAAAGTAAAATGTACATTACTTATTGTTTTGGGGATTTCAACCTGAGCCAAATTTATAGAATTAAATAATTGTTACGTTGAATGTGAATTATTGTGAATGATTGATTGAAATTGATTGATGTCATGTTTTGAATTAATTCCCGATTCTAAAAATACAGAATCAGGGTTTATTTCTTCATGACATTTTTTAACCAAACTTTGTATTAAAAAATCATAAAATAGTTACCCAGCTTGGCTAATGTAAAGCACGAATGCCACGGCGTCATTTGCTTGTTTGTTTATTATAGTATAGTATAAAGTATAAGTATAGCTTCAGTGAATTAGGGTTTAGGTTAGGCATAGGCATAGGGCGGGATCGATTTAGGGCATTAGTCGCAGTCAGCGATAAAATAGTGGCATTCGTCCTTTACATTAACCCAGAGCTTTTATTGGTTACAAATAATTTTATGCTTTATAAAGAATATAGTATTTATGAACCGTTTCATTATTGACCAATTGGGTTGTGAACTATACTTATAATTATAGCGATACTATTACCGGAAGTAAGATATCACATATTCTGAGCAAATCATTTTTGAAGTTCCGATTCTAAAAATACAGAAACTGGGCTAAAAACAATAAGCGTTGTCACCCTTTATCAAGATGGCGACCTCCATCGGTATTCATGTGGACAGTTAAAGACTCTACATCGTTGGAAGCTTATTCTCTCTAATATAACGAATTGTACCTAACGCCATAATACATTTTTAAAAATGGTAAATTTAATATTTAATCCATTATAATTTAATAGCGATTTTTTTTAGTAACTTTAACTTAAATATTATAATTGGAGCTAAATACTTTAACTCTTACTCTTACTCTTAGTTTAGACTTAGAATTAGAACTTAGGCACGTCAAGTTAGGTTAGAGTAGGATTAAGTCATAATTAAGTCTGAATTAAGTTATTAAGAAGAAGATAGGAAAGGGAGTATTCTAAGATGATTCTACTTAAGTTGACTCCTAACTAAACTAAGAGTCTAAGAGCTACATTGTTTTTTTACTTTTACTGTTGTTTGTTCTCTGATGTCTTCTTGCCTACCCTACGCCTTCACGTTCTTTGTTTTGTTGCATTATTTTTTTCATGTTTTCTCATAATAATAATATTCATACTTTATTTCAACATTTCACTCACTTCTGTAAAAAATTCCAAAAGCCTATAAAAGTATTACATTTGTGTAGAGCAAATTTAAAATAAAAATACGAAGTGGATGCGTACACCGCGGCGATGTACCTAGCGAAACCATCAGCTTTGGTCTGCGTAAACCGCGGCAGTGTACCTAGCGAAATCGTACACCGCGGCAAAAATGTACCATTGGCCTGCTTTTAAGATATGCTTGTTAGAGAAGATCTTGTGTGGTCAAGTGGTAGAGTGGACGCTTGACGATATTATATCTTGTGATCGGTTCCCAGTAGGGGATCGAGTTTTTTTCTTCCCATTTTAATTTAAAATATTGTTATATTTAAATTATCATGTTCATTTGCAACAGTAGTTTCATGAGAAGTTTTTAAATATTTTTTAGCAATTTAAACAATTTAAATATATGTTATATTCAGATTATTAAGTGTTTCAAAAAGTTGTGTCGGCCTTTGACTTTGAAAATACCGGTAATTTTAGTAATAAGACATTAGAAAACAAACTGAAAGTTTCTGAAAGCGCATGTATAGTGTATGTAACATGTATAAGAGAAACATTTTGAATACTAAGTGATATTCTATTTTATTTCAACATTCTTTGTGTAGTTGAATAATTACCTTTTACTTTTACGAACACCCAAAGAGAATACCAGTACCAGTATATCAATAATATCAAATGAATATTGTCATTAATGTGCTTGGTCGCATTTCAACCATCTTGCTTTCACTATGCATTAGCAAAATGTACATATCAACAGTTCATTCACAAGCCTCAGTCTCACAGCAAATCTTTTGAAAACACCTCGATTTTAGAAACTTACGGAGCGGTAGCAAATTGTATAGCAAAGCCATAGGTCTGCGTTTGCCCTTTTCATGACAGAATTTGTTTCCAGAATGACATGGCATGTGCTATTCTGAGGGTAAAACACGACGTTTCTCACAGAAACCATTGCACAAAGCGCTTGAGACAGGATTTGCGCTGTGTCAAAGTTTTTTTATTTATTGGGTTTTTTTGGTTAAAAAATCGATCCTTGCCGGGTATTGGAGGTGAGTTATGGGCAGAGGTTTAACCAAAAGGGGGCCTACACAAATCATGGCTATTTATAAGGGTTGTCCACAAAGGACGTCCGCACAACAAACTTACCTTTTGCACCCCCCCCCCCCCCCCCCCCCCCCTTTCCGCCGGTATTTTTTTACTAATGTGTAATGCTAATGTAAAACTAAATCAATGATATTTAATTATTGTTAAAAAGAATTGTAAAAATCACTGCAGTGTTTCGTATTTATCATCATACTGTTGTTTTGTGTTGACACACGCTTGGTATCACAATGACAATGCCTCTGACAACTTCACGATCAATGTGTGAGTATGTGATTCTCTTCCCGTAGTGTATTTGGGGCGTGATTACATCTTGGTGCTAACAAAATAGATACACTAGCTTCCCATTCATTTTTTCACCACGCCCCGAAGGATAAAATAAAATGTGATAATTATAATGCCCCCCCCCCCCCCAAAAAAAACCCCACCTGGGGGGGGGGAGCGAAAAATTTCAAATTACCTACCCTTTTTATTTTTTCCCCCCGCCCCCAAAGATAAAAAAAAAAGTGAAAATTTTAAAGCCCCCCCCCCCCCAAAAAAAACCCCATCTGGGTGGGGGGAGCGAATAATTTCAAATTAGCTACCCTTTTTATGCCTATTAAGATTCACAATCATAGGATAAAACTTAGGATAAAACTGACAATTAATAAATATATTTGTATTTCAAAATATAGGGTGGGGGGGTTAAAGTGGTTAACTTTAAAAATAAATCATGGTTTAACATTAACACCCCCACCCCCTCCCTTCCAATAAATAATAAGAAACGCTTTACAAGTACTTTGCCACATAAGCGTGGAACTTACTCAATATCTTCCTCCCAAGGTACAAAACGAATTTTAAATAAATCGTTTTCAGTTTTAACAAGATTATTAACATTAAATTTACAAGTACCGGTTAGGCCAAAAAGTTAAAGACTCGCAAAGACCATGGTTTTGCTACTTTAAATCGCTCCGGTGTACGCAGGCCACAGGCCATGATTTAGCTAGATACACCGCCACGGTGTACGCAGGCCAAAGTCAATAGTTTTGCTAGGTACACCGCCGTGGTGTACGTAGTGCCGGCCATAAAAATATTAAACAGAACCAATTTTCTACTTTTTTAAATTTGGACTGCACCTTCACTTTTGTTGACCCAATTCCACTGATCGTGTGCTATAACTCTAATTATAACATAAATTTATTAATTTTAACACTATTTTGTCATATAAAAACATTGTCTAACTATGTAATATGCATTAGTCATTATCATTAAATTTAATTATTCGATACTGATTTTCTGTTTGCCAAGTCTACTAAGGCCTCCATTATATTTATATTGTCTGTATAAGTCAAGAGAGCCCCATAAAAATAATACTGTTTTGGGACTACTTATTTTGAACTTTCAACTTCTGCACACGACTAATTAATTAAAGCTTTCCCTGACCAATGATTTAATAGCCTTTGCACACAGCAATCTCTTATGATTTATTTTGAATGAAACTATCATGGTCATAGTTTACTAAGTAACTATGATGTGAATAATACAATAGTATCCTGCACACGTAAGTGATTGTGAATGGTTGCCCATGACAACATTTTGCACACGGCAAATTATGATAATATACAATATGGAATCGCCTGGGTTTTTAAACCTCAAATTAAAATATTTATGTTTAAATGCCTTCCAAGTTCATTCTTAAACACAAGTTATCAAATTATTTGATTTAAATAGTGGTAATAATTAAACATTACCTAATTAATGGCATCTTCTGTCATTATAAAGGGCATGGTTGACATTAGGTGGAATGACTTTATGATAATGCAGGTTACTGGGACAAGCATATTTTATGGCCAACAAGACCTAACTCAATGAGAAATGGCACATGTATACATCAATCATCAATATATAATGCTTAGGAAGATTTAATATGATTTTTTTTTCTTTAGACATATATTTTGAACTTCTTCAAATTTTTTTAGGGAAAGATGCCTTATACCTAGGAATTTCCATAACTGGGTTCGTTTAAAAAAGCAAAAAATAAATTATGATAAAAATGTAGGTGAAGATGTCCACTACTATGAACATGTGGATGGATACCACAATTTTATGACTAAATAGTACTTTCATTAATGAAAAAGCGCTACCTTCCAATAATTAAAAACTTGGATTGTTCTGTGCCAACTCTCATTTCCCATGCACATTTTGAAGAAGAGTCTCTCTTTTTTCTGAAGTGCCTACAATAGCCACATTACAGAATATAGAATAATTGAATAAAACCTTCAGATCCTTGACCATGATATTAGCACATGTGTTGGATCATGATGATGATGATAATGGCTTATTGTTAACGGGAGTCTTTCTATGTGTCAAGTAATGTAGGTGAAATCTATGCAACTGACTTAAATTTCAAAATAAAAAAAAATTCAATTTGCATCAGTATAAATGAAAAATACTCTTAAGTTTGCTTAATTTAACTTAACATGGTTTGGGGTCTTAAGTTGGTATACTGTAAAACTGTATCTATAAAAATATGTAAAAAAAAGAAAGTAAAAATAATAGATTTTGGAGTTGCAACAT